ATATTGGATTCATCCATATTACTTTTAGCAAGTTTTAAATGTTAAAATTGTAGTATGTTTTGACATAATAATTTGTAAGCAAGCTCATTTTCTTCACTTTTTTTGTTATTGACATTTTAAATATTGACAGTTTAAATAGTGTAATTTAAAGTTATTGTTCGATTCGAATTCTAACGGTTATCGTGCAACGCACGATGCACACTAGTCACAACAAAAAGGTGATTTTAATCTCAAAACGTGATAGTTATGGCAACTTTTGACTTCAAATAGAATTCTAAAAAAAATCTCACGTCGAATAAAGATGAAAACGTAGACCAATTTATAAGAGTTTGAGCTATTCCTTTTAATAAGATTGACATTTTAAGATGGAATCCCAAATCTTAACATTGTATTAGAACCCATTAAACTCCAACGAGCAATTCGATCCGATTAAGAGTCAAAAAAATTGAGCACACGAATTTCAAAATTGGTCTGCTCAAACGAGCCACCATCTCGTAGGGGCATGTTAAGGGATAAAATCATACATCGAATAAAGATGAAAACATAGACCAATTTATAAGAGTTTGGACTACTCTTCTTAATAAGGTTGACATTTTAAGATGTAACCCAAAATCTTAAAATATGAATTTTCTAATTGGAATTAGAATCACATTTTGTTGTGATAAGTATTGTGTAAACATGTCATATTATGATTTGTTAAATAAAAATTCAATTCTTATTCAATTTGATAAATATGATTTTCTATTCCAATTGTACCATGACTCAACCACTATATTTTTTCTACTATAAATAGTGTGCAATTGTCTCACAATTCACCACCAAAAAATTTTACACGGCAGCTTCATATAAGGCAGTTGTAAATTCCTAGTATATATTTTTTTAAAATCTCGTATGATCAATCAAGGTAAGATAATTTTGTGTAAGTTGTTTATTTTCTTATACTTTTATATTCAGTAATTTATGCATGAATTGCTAATGGACCTTCGGCATTTTTTATTAAAAGATATGAGATCCTACGAGAATTTAAGATGACTTAAGATGAGTATGCCGCTTGGTCACCGATATACTCCATAAGAGGAGTGGTATGAAATGTTTATTTTATTGTGATATAATTGTGTATGGAAACTGCATATATCTTACTTGGTATTTTTAAATACTCCTTCTTACAAAATTTTATAAGTTGGTTTGGGTCGATTCGAACAGTGGCGAGATGGTGATGCGACTGTCAAGAGGAATCAAAGAGACAAAATATTAAGTTTATTTTTTCTTTAAATTATTAGTCAGTTTAATTTGTTCCAAAATAGTTATTTAATTTGTAATTATGTTTTCATTGGATATTCCAGTTATTTTTATTTAAAGAATATTATTTTAACGTTCCGCAAAGAAAATGAAATTTTGGTAACACTCCAGTGTTTGTGAAATTGTTGGGGCATTGGAGTTTGGTATCAGAGCAAATGTTTTACTTTCCTGTAGACTTTGTAAAAAAATATAGTGGTTGTGTCAAGTTACAATTGGAAGGGAAAATCGTATTTATCAAATTGAATTTTTAGTAAATAAATCATAATATGACATGTGTACATAATACCTATCACAACAAAAGGTGATTCTAATCTCAATACGTGATAGTGATGGCAACTTTTGAATTCAAATAGAATTCAACATTCATTCCTTAGATACACGTGGCTATCCCTCATCCAAATTCAATTTGATT